GTTCAGCGTCCGGCACGTGAGCCGAGCTGGCTGTTGGAGTGTTCACCCAGCTAGCTTCCAGCACCGCGGGATCGGTGTCGCTCAGGAGAAAGGAAAATGGGCAGGAGTGGTGGGATAGCAAGAATAACACGGAACTGGCCTAACGAAATCCATTTCAGACTGATGGTGAAAGAATGTGCCAGAGGCCCCTGCGGTCAGATTTGGGTATGGGTAGAAATGGCTGACCTGTTGTTGCTGGAGAGACGAGTACTACACGGACTAGTGCCATCAGGGGAGACAGACTGCCCGGGTGTGGAGTGTGAAACAAGGGCAACCCGTATCCACAGGGTCTTGTACTGGCTGGCGGATTTCTTCATCAGTGGCTGACCCAACAGAAGGTGATGTGGTTTTAGGTTCTGTGTGAGTAAGGGACGGACTGACTGCAGCTGCAGAAGGGAAGACACTCAAGGAGCTTACGGTGCTCAGAGCTGACGACCAAACGGCCACTGTGGCAGTGGGTTGCCAGAGCTGTGTGTCGGCTGTTAAAAACCAACCCATGTCTCCGGTAAGCTTTGCCAGTGGAAAGAAGGGTGCATTCGTACCCCACTGGTTTCTTGTTTGGAATGCGAGGTACTGGTTTAAAAATATTGAACAGAGAATGAAACGGAACTGGGACAGGTGCAGGGCTGGGTCTGCAGGGGACTGGGAGTGGACAAGCGCTGGGCTCAAGCGCTTTAGCGACGTGCTCTGAGAAAGGCTGTAGCTGCTGTCTGAACATCTCCTGAGGTAGACCAGAATGGGCAATAATAATTTTGAAGTTAGCGTTAAGTATAGACTGACTAGGAATCAATTTAGGCTGTAGACCGTAATTTCCCTAACCGTCAGGACAAGTAGGCTTTAAACCAAGAGGAGTACCAAAGGCAAAAGCTCGGAATGGTTGAAGACAAATTTATAAAAGTAGCTAGGTGGCTGGGCTGCCTGTGAGAGCTGGAGACGAGATGTCAGCGACCCGGGAGCTATCTCCTACCCCCCTGCCCCCATAATCGCAGGAGGCCCCATTCATGAAATGAAGGCCATGTGCACAGTTTTTGCTGTTAGAGGAGTTTGCAGCAGGCTCAGGGTCTCAGGGAGGATTTCCCAAAGAATTCAAGGCAAGTTTGGAGCAGAGGGAGGCTGCTGGCATTTTTCACATTGTTTATCTTATTCCTAATCCAGCTAGGAAGCAAACACATTATATTCTAGCATCTACTCCTGTGTTACTCGCTCGACCAAAACGCCTGTTGACATCAATGGGAGTCCTGTCAAGTGAAGACAGCCTGACATCTTTTCTTCCACCCAGCTGGAAAATAATAATAATGATGATAATTTTTTAAATCCTCATAGTAGTTATTCTTTTGAAAAGTTAAAATAACACGGTGCTGTGACTAGAGAGTTTTAAGGGAAAGTGCATCAGGAATGTAATATTGTTTCCAGATGTACAATGTCATAAAGGATTTTTTCCACACTTGGAATGGTAACAGGCGTTTTTCTGAGCGAGATCATTTACACAGTGATGAGATATGTAACATGTCAGAAATGCCTGTGCGGCTGGGACGCTTGTACCCTGTGCCGAAATAGGTGTCTATGAGCGATACGGATTTCGTATGTATGGTGATGTGTATTACCCTGCATGTGTGTGATCTGAGGAGGAGCATACGTTGGAACATAGCATTGCTGGTGTAATGTATAGATGGGGGAGGAACAGCTGTAGTACCCAGGTAAAGGTTGTAAAGAAATGCAGCACTGGCAACTGTGCAGGGTACAGAAGGACGGGCAGAGCAGCTCAGCGAACCAGAATTTAACTTGCTGAAGACAGTTTGAATGTCGTGGGAGCTGAACCCTCGTGTGGTTTTTGAGGAGGGCTTACATTGCAGAGATCCACCTGGGAGACAAAACCAATGTGGAGATACAGCACATACGTTTCTTCAGTACTGCTGGGGAATCGTTGTGTTGTGTCTGTGGCGTCGTAGCTACCACCAAGACCCTTGCAGGACTGCAGGGAGAATCTTAACAACCTGTTAACTCTCCCGCTGTTCCTAGAGGTGGAACCTGTACTTGGATGGCTGGAGGAATAACATGTTGTCCTCTCTATTGCTTGCTTGGTTGTCCTCTGAAACTCCTACAGAGGCGACAGGTCGATCCAACTGTTGGGCAGCACAGAATCTGTAATCTCTCTGCTGACTCTGTCAGATTTGGCCCTCAGCCACAACTGCCGTAATCCATGGCCTACCTGACGTATGCTGTTGTCCTCAGATCGTTACATTTTGCATTAACGACTGATTTTAGGTAAAAGACCGTCAACCGAATAGGCATAGAAGCCAAATATCAAGCCCAAGAATAAGTGCCATCAGGTCAGGAAAAGAAAAATGCACCAAACCCATTTGCCAGTGCTGCGGGCGAATCTGAGACTGTAAATCTCCAGGGAAGTTTGCACATCACCTTTCATCAGCACTAAAGACAGGTTTAAAAAGAGAAGCCTGGAACGTTTTACGATGTTGGGAGAACAAGTGTTATTGATAAATATGTGTTAGGAAGGGTATTGGCAAAAATGCACAGAAATGGTTAACAAGGTAATGGTAAGAAACGTTGACCTTGATTTGTTTAGCTAAGATGTAAAGATTTTTGAAGGTCAAAGGTGTTCTTGTGTAGTGTTTTGGAGTCTAACTGTGTCTGACCCTCTAACATTAAGCTGCTGTGGCCTGCAGTTTTGAAGAGTGAAGCAAACCAGGGGGAAAGAGAGAAGGGGGAGAGAACAGGAAATGGAGTGAGGTGTTTCAGGAAGTTGTCAGGAGTTGACTGATTGATTCCAGATGGAAAGGGTCACCCTTCATGACCCAGGAAATACTCACTGGGGGAAAGCAGTTGGCTTGTGAAAGGGAAGGGCCTGGGAGTTAGAGACCATAGTGGAATGCACATTCCTCTTCCTTTTATCCATAAAACATTGGTTTTTAATCTCCAGTATAAAACAATGGGATTGTCATCTTCGTCAGGCAGGAGGGAATGACTGGGGCCAAGTGAAGAGGTTCAGTAATTTTTATGCCCATAATCTCACATGTGTTTACTCCGCATCGTTGACAAAGGGTTGGCTAGCCGTGTCGTAGAACAGATGAGAAAGGTCTCTGCTGACCGTCAGCAGTACCCTAGAGATGAGGCCCAAAGCTTTGCGGAGGTTCTGGTCCAGATCTTTGCGTTTGGTCCGTTCCCTGGGAATGCTGTGTGTAATGTCCTGGGTCCCAGCCTGTGACGTGCCGAGGGGCTTTGACCCTCCTGGGGTTAGTGGGAGAGGAGAATAAAAATGGAAGCGCTCATGGCGAGGGGTCTAAAAGTGCATCTTCCGTTCCTGCTGGCTCAGGGAATAGAGGATGCCCAGCACTTACCTTCTGAGCAGGACAGTTTCTCGCTGTTACTCCTGGTACCGAGCTCTCCGACTGAACTGTGGCTCTTGTGTTGTGGCAGCATTTACACCCAAACGGTTATTCACACAGGGAACGTGTGGATACTTGGAGTCTGCATCCATTGCAAAGATCTCACACCCAGAGCACGAGGGTGTGTTTGTCGCGTAGGTACCTTGTGCGCGTGAGGTCAGGTACGTGTTATGTTCTGTAACTGTATCTGTATGATATACTTTTTATTTACATTTGGTTACAATTTAAACACTTGTCGTAAATATTTCAGACACTGGAATAATTCAGGTCTATTCCCCTGGTGCCATAGTGTGCTCTGTGCTGGCCAGCCAGAGATGAAAATTTATTTCCATTGTTTAACGGAAAATAACGACGTGCATCTGAGTGGGTTCAGCGATGTCATGCGGGAAACGTTCCCTTTGGACAGGAGTCTCACTCCACCCAAATGTGCAGTGATGAAATCAGTTGGCACACCAGAGCAGCACATTCTGTGACAAGAATGCTTGAGAAGCATCTGAGTACGGTATGACACCAGCCTTTTGGAATGAAGTAAACTTGTCTCAAGGCAGAAAGTGCTCTTTAAGCTAGCGTAATCCTGAAGGAGGGCAGGGTTTCTCCTGCTATATGCTGAATGTGGTTTTGTCAAAAATTAGAGGCTGGAAATCTCTTACCTAGACTGTGACAGTTGCATCTGTGATAATTCACGGCCACATCCAGGGTCGGCTTCGCAATGGCTGGGAGTTCCTGTAGCTGTGTGGCAGCTGAATGGAGTTCAGCTGATTTACAGCAACCAACGGTTGCAACCTGCACGTTTCAATGATCCCCCTTCTTCCAGTAGTTAAAACGGTCTGTTCCTTCTTTCCCAAAAGTCTGGGCTTTAAAGGCACAGATCTTCCTGGATTTATAGGGCCTACAGCTTTGGATATTGCGAAGGAAAACTAAGTGGAATTAATTAACATATACGGTCACTTCCTCTAAGGATTCCTGTGCTGCTGGAGCTCAGCAACATCAGCCACGGAGGCAAAGTTCGATTTGGGGTCCTCGGGCTGAGGTGATTTTCAGGAGGCACTAAGCACGTGCATGTCAAAACTCGGGCGTTTTCACCTCGTTCCTATTCTGCGCCAGCACTGGAGACCTGCTTTTCCGAAGCAGAAGCGTGTGCATGTGTGTGCAGCACAGCAGATGGCTCTGAATCTGCATGTGTGTATCAGAGGGCAAATTGTGGCGGTGCTCTGCAGCCCGCTCTCCTGGTTGGTACAGCTAGACCTCTTCGCCATCAGCTCTGCTACAGTGCATCACAGGAAACTAAATCTAGGGCCATCTGCAGGAGCTGGTTCGTTAGGCAGTAAGGACTTTATACGGCCCTTAGGATGCGGAGTTAAATGGTATTAATGCATAGAATGAAGGCTGAAAATACTACTTCTGCTCCTTGTTAGGGAGTAAACTCTGCAGGACATCATGCCATTTTGCAAAGGGAACAGGGTTTTAACTAAAAACTGAATGCTTAACACTTAACAAGTTGCATTTCAAAGTAAATTGTTTACCTGCCTCCTTTTTCTTCTTTTCCTGAATATCTAGGTTGTGCTGTCGACAACAGTGAACGTTGATGGGCACGTGCTGGCCGTGTCGGACAACATGTTTGTGCACAACAACTCCAAGCATGGGCGGAGGGCAAGGAGACTCGACCCCTCGGAAGGTAGGACATTTCTGTGCGGAACAGCACGCAACTGAACACAAAATCACACTTCCCGTTCTTCAGTTTCTGTTTGCTTTCAGGAGGGAAGGAGAGCTAAGGGGGAACTACAGAACCTCAGGGGGTTTCGAGAAGGAAGATGCAGGAAGACAGTGTCTGCTGCATGCAAAACATGATGCTGGGTACAGCTGAGAGACAGGCTGCCTCCCGCACCCCCCAGCTTATTAATTAGTTTGTACTGCAGAGATGAAAACCACAGAAACACTAAGTGTTATCTAAATTTCAGACTTCTCGTTCAGCTGGGACAGGTTTGATTTCAAGCAAATTAGGCAACATGACATCTTAGTTAAACAGAACTGTTACAGCACAAGATGTGCATGAAGAAGTGTCACCGCTTCCCTTAAACACACGATGCGCAAAGCATAACGATGCACAGAAGGAGCTGACACTAATTGATTCTCGTTTGTTTGGCTAAGCGAGACTCGCGGCCGGCTGCGGGATGGGCTCTGGACCCGTGTTAAGAAAAAAACACTTGTACCTGTTAAGCTTCGGAACGGTTGGCCCCGCCTCTCCCTCTTCCCGTAAATTCGTTACCAACGCATTCCACCTCTCATGCAGACAGTACTCAAAAATGGCTAGAAAATGCTATCTCTGCCCACGTTTCCCCCCTCCCCTGCAGCTGGTGAAAGTGAGAGGAGCGAGTGATGTTAGTAGAAAAGACAAGCGAGGATATTATTTCATTATAATGTTTTGCTGCCCCACTTCTTAACTGTGCCCCACATCAACCTGAAAGAAGAATTAATGAACTGGAAGAAAATGATTGAATCAGTAAAGAATTCAGAGTGGTGTTAATTCTCCCCCAGCGGGCAGTGAAATGGTAGAAGGAAAATCCCAGGATTCCTAGCCTCGGAAGCCATCCAGTTTTTCTGTGACTGATTGGATGTGATTGACTGGCTGTTCAAAGGAGTCTCATGTTTTTGGAGCACTGCCAAAGTTCCCCTCCACCTCTGACCCTGTCAACATTGGGAATGGAGTGATGGATTGACTTTGGTTATGGCCTGGAAACCATATTGGGTTCCTGATGGGATGTATAGTCCAGAGGCCTTGAACATATGGAAGAGAGGAGAAAAAAAATTGTACTCTATGAAGTCAAGACAATGATTAGAAATTGTCTTCTGATAGGAATTGGAGAAAACATTTGATTTTTCTGTATCTTTTTACCCGTTGATAAACTTAAACCCTCTTCTACCTCTCTTCCCACAGGGTTTGGTTTTGTGTGATCATATGCTAATGGGGTGGGGGGGGGGGGGGGGGACTAGCAGCCTCTGCACAATCAGTTAAGCGTTTCATTTTTACACCCACTACAGTTGGCCTGTTAGGCTTTAATGACACAACGTTAAGTGCCAGTAATGAATAGGCAAGTAATTAACACCAGCAAGGCAGAAAACACACATTTATTTATTTATTTACCTACCTCCCCATCT